TTGTGATACCAGTACAGGCCAGTAGCTTGACATGGTCCTGAAATGGAAATATCGTTAATCTAATTTTATTAATAAAAAAATAAGGAATTGCGTTACCTACGAACATTCTCCTATATAATCATTTATGGCGCTAAAAATCATTTTGATGAATCACTCCCAATCATCTTAAATGAATTGAAATTTTCCAATATATTTTTCATAACCAAACCCTTAACATTAAATCTCTCATCTTTTCACGGTATTTGTCCTAATTGGAAAACTATAAATTATTATAAAAAAATTCAATCAAATCTTTATGAAAAAGTATCAACAATAAGTACCCCCCAAAAGGGCGCCCTTTTAATGTTTAACAAACAACCGAAAACAGCTTGTTTATTTTTCTTTTGCAACGAAGAAATCAAAGCCGCAATGGCTACCACATTAACGCATTGGTAAAATCTTCCAATGGAAAACCGACAAAAAAAATCGATCAATATATTGCCATACATATCCCGAAAATTCTATATCCACATGAAGGTCATATTTTACTGGAATGATCTCCACTCAAAAAAATATGACTCCCTCCTTTCTCGGAAGAAACAACGACATGTAAATACAACAAACAACCATTGAACAGCGGCACGCCGTCAAACCCCTTACTAGAGGTTGTGACATTGTTGTCTGTTCGTGTCTGTGGTTCTTACCTTATGCTTATGTGTCTAATCAATCCACACTGGTAAAACAGCAGCACTATGTTAAATGTTTCACTTAATAGGGGGGGTTTTTTCACAAATACAAATTTGTTATGTTATTTGTTGTAAAATAATAATTTTCTATTCGATTTTGCTATTTTGTATTTATTTTCTTTTTTATTATTCTTATTGGGCTGTCGTCGCCATTTTCGCACTTGCACACACACGAAGAAGAAAAACAACGTTGTTAATGAATGTTTTTGTTGTTTTCTGTCTAGGTAGGGTTTGTTACACTCGCGAGAAACTTTTTTTGTCGGGATTTTGTTTCTTTTGTTCTTGATGATGGTGTTACACTTTTACCGGAAGCTTTTCACAATGCGTAAAAGTCGCTTAACAGTTAGACGTATTAAAATTTTAAAGTTTTTTCTACAGATTTTCAAGATATTTATAAATTTTATCAAGAAATTCCGCAAAAAACACTGGTTTCGACCAGAGAACCGAGCCACACTGACAATAAACGGCGTTAAATGATGATATGACAGAGGCTGATGATAACAGGGGAGAGACTTGTGTGAAAGCGTATAGCATATGTCAGAAATGAAGGGCATTGGTTCAATTGAGATATTTTAAGGAAATCCATTGTAATTTTAAAGATTAAAGGCATTGATTATAGGCGGAAATGTGAATTTATAAAGGAATATTCGTGGTACAATAACAAGAGGTAGATTAATGGTACTTAGTGATTACATTTTTTCTTTTTGTTCGCCCCTGTTCTGTCAAAACAATTACTCAATTATTAATGTGTTGAAAAATATAAACAAAATTAAAAGATTTTCAAATTAAGTTGTAATTAAAATTCAACATTACAGCACTCAGGGAATTGGAAAGAATTCTTATTATAAGTATATTTGCAAGCCTATATTGTGAAAAACACTTGACATTCTATTCATTTTTTTGGGATATTTCCTTAAATAATAAAAATGTAAAAATATGTCAAATAAACAATACAACCTGTTGGATATGTATATATAAGACATTAAACTATACTACAGTTTCTATATATTTCGTCAAGTAATCCTACCTCGTGTTATAATACCATGTGAATGTCAATGACAAACTTCATTTTAGATGCTGTTCTCCTTTATTCTTTTCCATTAAAGAAGCCAACTTAGCATATCAAGCCTGAAATCCACTTATGTGTTTCCACCTTAAATGTATTGGGACACAATGGAGATTTTTTTTTTTGTGTAACTTTAGTTGTCATCGGTCTGTAGAAGAAAGTCTTTCAAACAGCTGATTTCGTTACGTTTTACGAGTTCGAGTAGCATATGTAAATATGCTGACAGCACATATCTAAAATACATATCGTGTAAAAATACCATTTAGACTATGCGCTGTAAATCGACTCGATTTTTAAATCGAGATGTCAAATCCTAACTGTATTAAATTGAAATGAAGTTGATTTGTCAGCTGTTATTTGTTAACTTTTACATACACATTTCAGTGCTTCCATAATTTTTGTGGCAATTTTTCTCTATTAGGTCATTTATTATGTATGCAAACAAGAGATATATTTTCAGAAGTTGACATATTTTTGTCAGGAAGTTATTTGGAATATTAACAATTTTAAAGCATACTTTAGAGAGAAACTATTATTTTTTGAGACAAAAGCAAGGTGGTATTTGAAATTATTTCGATTTATTGAGTGGATTTATTTTTTATGGTAAATTGAGGTAAATTCAGCTCGATTTACCAATTAAATCGAGATAATGAACTTTATCACGATAAAAGCTGTAGTCTAAATGCGCCTGATGTTGTCCCAAAAATAATCTTTTCCCTCAAAGTATGCTTTAAAATGAGTTAATGTTCAAAATAACTGCCTAACACAAAAAGTCAGCTGACAAATCTTCATTTCATATTAATACTAGTCTAAACAAGTAGGATTTAATATCTCGATTTACAAATCAAGTCGATTTAGAAGACATAGGTAAACGCGCTAGCATGTTGGCGGTTTTATTCCAGGGTGCGAAGAATGATTAAAATACGCTCTTTCTCACGAACGCTCACGGGCGAGAATTCGAATGTTTTCAAGTTATCGCGAATGATAAAGTTACAATGAATGAACAAACATTTGTAATCTCTTGCGAATGTTCGCATTGCACGAAAAATTCACGAATGATAAAATTTCGCTGCAAGCCTCGTCGATTCATTCTTTCGCGAGCATTTGTTCCCGAAGAACATTCTTTAAAAACATTCTTTTATAACAACAAACAAAAATATCATAAACACACACCCAACGAATAAATTTGTGTGTAGCGGAAAATGTGTGGAATAACAAAATACATGTCAAACAACTATTGAGTTCACGAACGTTTGTTGTTGCCGTTTTGAGCATTCGCGAGAATTCGGGAATGTTTGTTTTCATTCCTGAGAGAATGTCAGAAAGAATTCCAACCACCAAACGAACGTTGTTGTGTGCTCTCACTAGTTTGTTATGTGAGTGCGAACATTTTTTGTCGAATGCTCGTTTGATAAAGAAATTATCGCCATAAATTCATTCGTAAAATGAGCACAAAACGAAAATAATGTATTTTGAATCATTCGCGAACGAATTTTTGCGCACCCTGTTTTAACCCTTTGAGCCCCGAATTGTTTTGCCTAATATAAGAACTATTTTCTGTTCACAAATTTAATGCAACTATCCTAGATAGGATATGGACAAATAGCTATATCCTTGCAATCGGGAGCTACAGTACATTCTTTCTGAAAAATAAAAGCCCTATATCAAGAATACCAAATGCAAAATCGACGCAAAATTCATTTTAAATTATTCTCTATATTCTTTTTTACAAGAATCAAAAATAATTCTGATGGCAGAATTCGTAAATTTCGAATACGAAGCAATTTAAATAATTTGGACTGTATACACAAATTAGTACTGTACACATTTTTGCCCTCTTCTCTATATTGAAAACCTCATAACTTTACCAAGAATTTGAATTTTTAAGATTTTTCTTTTGATATATGTTGTCCATAATCAGGTCTAGACGTACGAAATCCAAAGAATATATATCTACTAGCTGTATATTAAATATAAGCTCTAAAACATTTTGTTGCCTGTGGGCAACATTGGGCCACAAAGGGTTAATATACCTTTGTTATATTTGATTCCCCCTGGACATGTTTTCATAAACTATTTTGTCAAAATGCATTTTGTCGAGTCCATGGCACAATGAATAGGTAGTCCATTTAGCGCAGCTGATGTCTTGATTAACTGTCAAAGTGTGTAATTTCTACTTGAATTCGATGTGCAGTGTTGCCAACCATTTGAAATATTATTTGGGAATTTTTTACAGATAATCGAGACAAAAACAACGGTTTTTGTTTTGATACATCACCTTATTATTGAATCATGGTCGAGTCTTTACGGTATCTATGTCTTTGAGATGACAAGTGTTAGGTTTCTACAATATCATGTTGTCACAATAATCAATATATTTTTAAAACGACATTTTCCCTGTCACCGTTTGGCGTAAAGGTAAGTACATACTATAATTGTGGACTATCAGGTTTTTTTGTCGATTATCCAACAACCATGAATATTTTCGTGGCTGCCTGGTGAATGACGAACATTAGAGGCCGCATTATCAAACAAGCAAAATTTGGGCAACATGGACAGTTCAAAATGATAGTGCATATTCGCCTTTACGTCAAACAGTGATAGGGTTCTAAGAGACCGAAAATGTCATTTAACTAAATATGGATAATTGTGATAAAAATGATACTATAAATCCCTAATACTTGTCATCTGTGTGAATCGTAAAAAGTCTAATAAGAGGGTGAATATGATGTGGTTTTAGGTGGAAAAATTGAAATATTTTCTTATCCGAGGTGTTAAATTATAAAATAAACTAAGGTAAATCAAAAATATCTATTAGACTAAATAAAAATCATTGTACTAACATGATTTACTATCAATTGCAGCCAGCGTAGATTTTGGAAAAGTCTCGCTTGTGCGTAAAACCCCTGACCCAATAAAAAACTACAATTTTTTTATTGGGGGTCTATTTATTATTACATTAAACGACGACGACAACGGCAGTGACTACAACGACGAGCCGATAGTAGGTGAGCAAGAAGAAGATTGCCGAAACATTTAGCAGCTGGCAGCAGGCACGTACCATTTATAGTATATTTTAGCTTTTAGCCAGTGCAATTTTTTTGTGGTTGGTTTAGTGCTGTGTGACGTCGTAAGTCAACATTGAGTTGAATACGGGCATACACACACACACACAGAAATGTTATTGTCCATTATTTTTTTAAAATATTTTAGTAACACACATATAAAAATTAATTAACAAAACAGATACAAATAATTACGTGGAATAAAACAAATATCCGGATTAAAACAGAGCAACAAAAACAACAACAATGACGGTAATAGAGGGCAACAAAGACGAAGCAATGCGCTGCATCGATATTGCTGTGCAAGCTTTGACCGAGGGTAAATTGGAAAAAGCCGAGAAATTCCTATTAAAAGCCGAGAAACTATTCCCAACGGAAAAGGCCAAAGGTAAGTAAGAATCGTAAAATAAAATTGAAATGAGTGAATAATACAATAATGTACATCATAAGTTCATTAGGTTACAAATTCCGTAGTCCACATAGGGTGGTAGTCTCGTTCATAGTGGCAAACAAATAAATTGAAAAAAAGAAAGTAAACAAAATTTATTAAGCCAACAACAACAACACCGACGTTTATGTGGCTGCTAACTATTCAAATAAGATAAATATAGCCCATTAAGGTCTATAGTCATATCTGGCCTTAGAACCGAATTTGAGATAAAGAACAATGTTGGGCATATTACCTACCTAGCACATGCCTATGCCAATATTTGGTTATTTTTGTTGTTGTTTTCATTTAATCGAAATTAAATCAATATTAAAATAATTTAAGAAGTTGTAAATTAGGAATTAGGTGAGGTTATAGAGACTTATGTTGAGATGATTTGAAATACAATCTATGTCACGAAGCTGCAACTATCTGAAAATGTGTAGAAGTTTTTGTTATTTAAAAAAATACCGGTACCATGAGTCAACAGTATACCATTATGATTAAACATTAATAGAACGAAAACGGCAGATGAAAAATTTTAAACAAAATTGATATTCTATCAGCAAGGTATTCTAATTTTAAGTCCAAATATTGATATTTCCAATTGCAATAATTGTCGTTTTTTTTTCTTTGTTTCCTTTTCCAGTACTCCTTTCCAAGGTGAAAAGTTTTCCCTCAAATGGCGGTTCATCGTCGGCTGGCGGTTCATCACAGCGTGACAGTGAAACCGATGGCGTTCGCAAACGCAAAAATTCCGATTCACGTAATGCTGAACCCGATTATACCGCCGAACAAATGGAAGCTGTTCGTAAAGTGAAAAAATGCAAAGATTATTATGAAATTTTAGGCGTTACCAAGACATCAACAGATTCGGAAATTAAGAAAGCCTATAAGAAACTTGCCTTACAATTGCATCCGGATAAAAATCGTGCCCCTGGTGCTGTTGAAGCTTTCAAGGCCGTCGGTAATGCTGCCGCCATTCTTACAGATCCTGAAAAACGTAAACAATACGATTTATATGGCATTAATGATTCACATAGTGGTGGTGGCGGCGGAGGCGGCAATGGTGGTATGCGTAATGGCTATTATACCAGTGATTTTGGCTATTCGCGTGGTTTCCAAGCCGACGTCAGTGCTGAGGAAATTTTCAATATGTTCTTCGGTTCTGGATTTCCACAACAAAATGTCTATATGAGATCAAATCGACGACGCCAGCAAAGGGAAGAAAGAGAGGTAGATTTTATGCGAAAGAATTATTCAATTGAAGGGTATTTAAAATCCTTGTTATATTTTCAGAATCAATCTTCATCATCGGCTTTGATTAATTTATTGCCTATTTTGGTTTTGATTGGCCTATCAATGATGTCGTCATTCTTTATTTCGGACCCCATCTATAGCTTGACACCATCACAGTAAGTTGAAGTTTACAAAACCGAGAGGGAAAGGATAGAATAGATGAGTAAAGAGAGAGAGTGACAACCACATGGGAATCTTTAATGACGTGTGGAAGCGATATTTTATAGAAGATCATACAGCAGTATTTATAGACCAGTGGAAGGGAGTTTTGACAGAGCTGATAGTCAGGGAGTCTTAATAGACGAGCTGGTGGTCAGGGAGTCTTTATAGGCGAGCTCAGGGAGTTCTAATATACCAAATGAAGATCAGAGATGACCAGAAAGACTTTATTCGAACTGAAAATCAGGAAGGCTTTTTATACGAACGAAAGGTCAGGGAGTCTTTAAAAACGAGCTAAAAGTCAGGGAGTCTTAATAGAGAAATAAGTTTTTATAGACGATTTTCAGTTCAAGGACTATTTATAGATAATCTGAACCTCTGGGTTTTTTTATAGAGAAGCAAATGGGAGTCTTTTTTTTTGGCGACCAAGAGGGAGTACTTATAGACCAAAAAAGTGAGTCTTTGTAGACACAATCTTTATAGACGAGCCGAAGGCAGTCTTTATAGGCGAGCCGAAGGGAGCCTTTATAGACTAGCCGAAGGGAATCTTTATCGACGATCCGAAGGGAGTCTTTATAGACGAGCCGAAGGGAGTCTTTATAGACGAGCCGAAGGGAGTCTTTATAGACGAGCCGAAGGGAGTCTCTATAGACGAGCCGAAGGGAGCCTTTATAGACTAGCCGAAGGGAATCTTTATAGACGAGCCGAAGGGAGTTTTTATAGACGAGCCGAAGGGAGTCTCTATAGACGAACCGAAGGGAGTCTCTATAGACGAGCCGAAGGGAGTCTTTATAGACGAGCCGAAGGGAGTCTTTATAGACGAGCCGAAGGGAGTCTTTATAGACGAGCCGAAGACAGTAGGTTTAGACGAGTTGAAGGGAATCGTTACAGACGAGATGAAGGCTGTATTTTTAGTTGAGTCCAAGGGAGTCTTTATAGAATACCAGAAGCGAGACTTTATAGACCACCAGAAGTGAGACTTTATAGACAACCAGATAGGAGTATTTACAAACGAACATATAGGAGTATTTATAGACCGGATTGGAGTCTTTGAAGGCGAGAAAAGGGGAGTATAAACTAATACAAATTCTTGACTGAAAATTAAGAGTCTTTATAATAGAGCTGACGTCAGGCTTTTGAATGCAGTGGCTTTTCCGAAAAAAAAAAATATTTTTGAAATCCGATATTTTTGTTTGCATATTTAGTCCGATCCTACCTACCCTCTTTCTAATATTTTTTCTAATATCGATTTCTTTTTCTCAAATTAGCAAATATTCGGTGAAACGTGAAACCAATTCATTGAAGATACCCTACTATGTTAAGGACAATTTCTATTCGGAATATCAAGGTTCGGTGGGACGATTAGAGGAATCGGTTGAGGAAGATTTTATAAATCATTTGAAGTTATCATGCAGTCGAGAAAGAAATTATCGTAAGTATTTGAAATATAAAATATTTTCGTTTCTTTTTTTTACTAAATTTCTCCATTTTATTTCTAGGTGATTCAATGCTAGCTAAAGCTCGTAGTTTTGGTGATCGTGACTTGTTCCGCAAGGCCCAAAATATTAATATGCCCTCGTGTGAAAATCTTCAAAAGTATTTGAATACATAGTTTAAGACGGTTCAACACTATCATTAGAAACAAACAAACCAACAAAAAAATAAATTAAATATATTTTAACTTTTTTTGGAAAACAACCACCTAACATAACACACACCTCCTCCCATTCATCCTTCCTTCCCATTATCCAACACCATAACTTTGTTTTCAAGCACGCAGAAAACACACACACACCCAGACATAGAGAACCCTGGTGGAACCTTCAGCTATCTTTTGTTGAGTTTTGATTTTCCAATTTTATTTTATTTGTTTATTTCCTTATCCCTCCCATTTTGTTGAGTGGATTTCTATAATAGAATAGGATGATGAGCCATTGACATCACCAGGAAAGGATTTAATATTACAATTGTAGTTCAATTTAATGGATAATTGTACGTACGAGAAAGTGTTGTATTTTATAAGAATAAAATTGAAAACAAAAATAAAAGAGAAAATTAATTGATTTCACATACAAAACACACACATAGTACATACAAAAAGAAGAACAATTATATATTAATAATAAGTTATTTGCATTGTCAATAAACAAATGATGGAATTTACGACATACCTAAATATATATATATGGACATATAAAAGGTTTTTATATACGGGCCAAGGAAAGGAACGATAGACTTCCAACAAAATTTTTTTTTGTTTTTGTGGTTAAAGAAAAGAACATAGAAGACTAGAAGGGAGTTTTTATGGACGACCAAAAAATAGTTTTTATGGACGACTAGAAGTGAGTCCTTGTAGACGACCAGTAGTGAGTCTTTATAGACGACCAGTAGTGTGTCTTTATAGACGACCAGTAGGGAGTCTTTATAGACGACCAGAGGGGAGTCTTTATAGACGAGCAGAGGGGAGTCTTTATAGACGAGCAGAAGGGAGAATTTATAGACGACCAGAAGGGAATCTTTATAGACGACCAAAAAGTAGTTTTTATGGCGACTGGAAGGGAGTCTTTATGGACGACCAGAAGAGTGTATTTATAGACGACCAGAAGGGAGTCTTTATAGACGACCAGAAGGGAGTCTTTACAGACGACCAGAAGGGAGTCTATAGACGACCAACATTAAGTCTTTATATAAGGCCATTAATTCATTGGTAATCTGTATTATTTCTTTTCTTTACCATTTCAATTTAATCACACTCGAATTCTAGATTGTACCTAAATATCTCTTTTTTATTGGAAACTTAGAAAAAAAACAAAAAGAAACTTATAAGCATTAGCCGAAGACACATCTAATTAGCTATAATGGCTTCCAGAGCTGCTACAACATCTCCTCTTTGTTCACGCAGGACCTTTTCGGCTTGCATTTTGCTAATTAACATTTCATTCATCTAAAAGGAAAAGGGAAGAAAATAATCATTAATAATAGAATGCAAAACACTCACAATAAACTCACAATAAGTTCGATATCCTCTTTTTTCACTTGAATCTTTTGCAATTCCATTTCCTTGGCCACACGCAATTCATCTTCTTTTTGACGTTGATTACCGAACTGTTCCACGGCACTGGATATATTCGCTGTGGAGATTTCCTTTTCTTCAGCATAGTCGGTAACACGTTCTAAATCGGCAGCACCACCATCATGTTTGGTTTGTTTTTTCTGTTTCTTATCCTGCACCTCATCGACTTCAGTACCATTAAGATCGGCCATTGTGTTTATTGGGAGTTTTTTATTATTGACAAATTAAAGTAAAATACTAAAATATAGTTTTTTTTTCTATTCTATACTAAAAAAATGTGCAGAATAGGTATTAGTAAATCGACTTTCGACTAATCGATTTTTTGTATGGAAAAGTCCATGCAAGATCTATTAATAAGGTCACCAAGATAGCAATCGAAATCGGAAAACAGCTGTTTTTTCTCAAGTCTAATGTCAAAAATTTCGACATTGTGTATTCCTTGTGTTTATCAATTACCATGGCCTATAAATAAGGTCACCAAGGGAGACCAGCTGATTATCGATACCTCTCAAGTTTGCTGTCAAAATGCATTATTGTGAATTGACTTCCATTTTGACAGCAAACATGAGAGGTATCGATTATCAGCTGGTCTCCCTGGGTGGCCTTATTTATAGGCCATGGTAATTGATAAACACAAGGAATACATGGTATGTTCCCGTACTGCAAGAATCTACTAGATTTTACTATTTTCTTCGATATCATAAAGGAAAAAAGTGTTATCGAAGTAAAAAATAGTAGATTCTTGTAGTGCGGGAACAGACCAACAATTAAATTAAGAATTAGTAAATCGACTTCCCACTAATGGACTTTTTGTATGGAAAAGTGCAAGGCCTATAAAAGAGGTCACCCAGGGAGACCAGCTGCCACTAGAGTTTGCTGTCAAAATGCATTATTGTGAATTAACTTCCATTATGAAAACGTAAACAATGTCGACATTTTTGACATTAGACTTGAGAAAAAACAGCTGTTTTCCGATTTCGATTGCTACCTGGGTGACCTTATTAATAGATCTTGGAAAAGTGTAACAGCCTTACCTAAAATTCAACTAGCTCGTTCGACGTTTTCCACCACAAAAGTAGAACATATGTATTTATATGAATATTACCGAAATACGTCGAGCGTACAAAATTTCATGTTGAACAATTTCAACTTTGACAGAACGTATTTTTTTGTTTTTTTTTTTCTTTTGTTGAAGATAAAAACAAAACAATCAGAAAATATGAAATTTCGAATGTGAACATTAAATATGTGGATAAATTTAATAAATTTTCAATTTCTTTTGCGGTTGATTTTATTCGCTTGATGATATGGATACGGCGTATTTCGGTAATACGGCCGTACACAACATTTTGCAAAAGTGGGGAAGTTGAATTTTCTGTACGCCCCGTCGGATTATAGGTAACGTTGTAAAAGTCGACCATAATCCAATAATAAGGACGTCCGATAAGGCCAGATGATTTCACACGGACTGTAAAAATGCTTTCGATTTTGACAGCTTGGGGGATTTTAATCAAAAATTGTCGATAAGGATTGCTTCCGACACGACCTGTTTATTGGATCATGAAGTCGGCTTTTGATCTTTGAGAAAATCGCAATATAAAGATCGACTTTCGATTTTCTTCACAAATACTTGTTTTATTATCATGAAGCTCAAATTGCCCAAAAATTACAAATTCCAGAACTTTATTTTATCTGTTTACAAAAATTCATATAAAAAATCAATTTTTTAGATGATTTTGCATTAGTCGGTAAAAGTCGAAAATCGATTTTGATGAGGTTTGACAAAATCGAAAGATGGAAAAGTCGACTTTTTAATCAAAGTCGAAAAGTCTAAAAATCGACTTTTTGGTCAGAGGAAAAAATCGAAAAGTCTAAAGGGTCCCATACACTATACATCATGCCGTACAGCATTTATCATATGGTCTGTTCCAGTACTTTTTTAATAGTAAATCTAGTAAAAGGGAATTGAGTCAATGTTTTACCAGTTTTGTGGGTTGAGGAACGGTTTTCGAGTAAAAAGTTGCAAAACATGTAAAAGGAGTAGAATATTTTAGGTTCTGAAACGGAATTATAGTATTGGCGTGTTCCCGTACTGCAAGAATCTCCTATTTTTTGAAAGTTTATTTTTGTATGTGTGACACACACAATGCATGAAGAATATCAAAATAGTTTTGATTTTGAAAATGAAACCCTATCAATCTGGTGAATAATATTTATTTTGATTTATTTATTTTGATAAGTTGTCAGTAAATAATTTTGTGCTGGAATAAAAAAAAAACAGCTGAATTTACGACTCAAAATGCAATTTTTGGGATAAAAATCTATCGTAAGCTTAGCTTTACGGAAACAAGTCTAGTCTAGGGCCCCTCCCGGATCGTTTTGAAATTTTTACCACATGTAGTCCTTGGGGCCCTAAATATAACAGTATATTTTTTCATGCGGAAATCGGTATTTCCGGAGATATGGGCCTCCAAAGTTCCGTTTGGACCCTTGTATTTTCTCACAATTTTTTAAAATCCACTAAGGCATTATGGCTACCATTTTAAAGCATTTGAAGCCCTGATTACAAAGCCGGTCAGAAATAAGCCGGATGCGGTACATATAAACAGTGTTGCTAAGATGGAATAATGAAATGAATTGTAGTTAGTGGATGCGGTCACGTAACGTGCATGAAATGCAACACTGCGTGAGCGTAATAGGTTTGGATGTAGCATAAAACAGACATAAATAAATGTCGGAAAATTGTGCGAAAAATGAAAAGGAGGGAAAATCATGCTTGGGTTTCGGCCATATAAAAGGAGCGAATGAAAGAAAAATCGCCATAGTTATTTGTGTCCACTTAAAATCCAATTGGATTTTTCCCAAAAATAAAAAAACAATATCAACAAAAAAAAATCTAATTGGAAATAAAAAAAAAATATATATTTTTCTTCAACGTTTATTGTGGTGTTGTGTGACAAACATATGTTGTGCGTATGCAAAAATGTAAGCATGTTGTTTAATGTGTTTGTTTTTTGTCGCTTCAATGTCCTGTTTTTTTTTTGTGTTTCATTAAAGTTAAACGCCAATAAAAATCTGCACACCGCCGAAGAAACTGACCCCTCCCAAATATCTGCGTGGAGGAGGTCAGATGAAAATTTTGAAGAATATTCGGAAGAATTTTTGAAGACGTTGTGAAGACAGCTGGGAAACAGCCATAAAACAGCCTTGAAAAGTTGCCAAAATCCTGCCAATAATCCCCTTTAAGTCCGTATGGAAGGGAAGAAAAATCCTGGTGATCCTTGATGATTTGCTCTGTCGCTGGTAATAAACCCCTACAATAAAGAAACCAGAAAAGAATATATTTAATCGTTGGAAACCAGGTAAAACAATATTAATATAACACATACCGATTGATGATAATGCTGGAATAATGAAAGTGCCAGTTCCCTATGCAAATCAAAAAAACCTGAAATGAGATAAAAAAAAAAAACGTTAATATAAATTTTACAAAAAATAAGACACAAAAACTATAAAAAAAACAAAAAAATATAATTAAAACAATAATATATGTTAGTATAAGTTGTGAATGTTAGTAGTTAGTTTAGAATTAAGAATTTAAATGATTATATTTTTGTGAGGATTTTTAACCCCTTTTAATTACTGGTGAGCTAGATTACCACATTTCTACGTGGAGCAAGAATTTAGTAATTTTGCGGACGCAATTTAACCGCATACGTCACCACTAATAGAGCTCTCTTAGGTAGGTGTAGTTGTCCAAAGTGGCCTAAATTGGCAGTGTAAAATGCCCTATGTAGAGTAATGGTAATCGACGAATTGATTCACACTGAGAGAAAAGGAGTTAGGAGTTCATGAATTGACATAATTTTTTCATGTTTTGTGTTAGATTAAGGTCCAAAAAAATGTCAATAAATGATTTTTATGTTTGATTTTATGTTATTAGAAATTATGTTGTGTTAATTTTTCTTTGTGAGAGAGGGAATTAGGTGTAAGTTTTCGTGAGGTAAGTGTGTGTGGAATTTGGAGCCCTTTTAAATATAAGATTTCGTCAATTGGACTAAAGGGTCAAGGATGGGCGGGCATAGTGGAGGAGCACTAAACCAAGCTCCTTCGTCATAGGTGTATGTTGTGTTTGTTTATGTTTTTGTGTTTTGTATGATCCAAAAATTTCTAGTTGTTCGTTCCCTAGGGTTGATGGTGGCAAGGGTTGAGAACTCCCCTGATCGAAAAGTGTTCCCAACTGAGCTAGTGCGAACCCCGCCATGACGCCGCATTAGGTCAAGAACATAACAATATGGCGCCCAACCGGTACTCAAAGAACGTAACAATATGGCGCCCAAATTGATTCCTAGAACGTAACAATATGGCGCCCAAGCATAATTCAAAAAAATTAGCATCCGAAGCACCGTACATCAATATGGCGCCTAGGATGACACCTAAAATATGTGCAATAAAACCTAAGCACTGTTCAATAGCCTATAGGGGGCAATAGATTAAAATGAAAGATCGCATTTTTAATTAGCTAACGGATATTGCATCCACTTTTTAGATTTAGAATAAACTGTGTTAAATGTGCAATATTTAGTTTAGAGAATTAAAAATTAGGATATTTCATTCCATAAATTATGTCCATTTAAATGTGTGTAAATGTCCAATATATTTAATCAGTACATCATGACGACCTAATAAGGCCACTTTATTAAGAAAATGTTTTTTGTTTACAATTAAACAATATCCCACACACAATCTCACGTTAGCTGAAAATACTCCTAGAACCTCTCGTTTGTGTTTTAAAATATGTTTATCTATTTAGTGTTGTTCTAATTGTTTGTACCCTTATGTTTTTTTATTTAACCTATATATTTTAAATCTAATTATACTTTAACGATTACGTAGATTAAGTGTTCATCTCTTTATGTTTTGATTGTTTTAACTATAAAAAAAATTATAAAAGTATCACAAATTTTAATATCGCTATCTAATGAGCGCAAGTAACGCAGGGAAAAATAGAAGAAAAAGAAATAGATCGCTAGTGTTTGATCATAGCAGAACGTCTATTCCTTCTGCAAAGCCCAAGACCAAGAAAACGGAAAAGGGCTACAAAAATGCCAAATGTCAAT